TGTGTGTGTGTGTGTGTGTGTGTGTGTGTGAGTGAGACTTACTGACTGGATTCCTCCTACTAAGTTTCAATGCTCCAGGCACTCAGTGTTATCTACATTTTGAGAGAGGAAAGAGGTCTGGAAACAAGTTTCTCATGGGTGAATGACCTCACTGTAAATGCTGGTACCTCCTTTTGTCATGGTCTTCTAGGAATTGTGAGTCTACCCTAAAGAGCTCGGTCTCCTGAAGATCTTGGGGTAGCATCCCACTCTAAGGAGGGATCCTATCAGGTTAACATCTCAGCCCTGAATCAAGAGTCCTAGAGAAACAGTTTGACTCCTGAGAAATAAGGGCAACATCAGTGGGTACTAGCAATTATATTCTGAGTTGGGTCTCAGGGTTCGAATTCCAAGTATCTGATACTGAGCTGGTTTAATAGCTTGATTTGCAACAACATTTCTGAAAAATGACAATATTGGGTGCCATCTTCTTGTTTAACTGTTGCTTCTATTTGGGGCAAACAATCACATGCAGAATTAGATTATGAGTACACTGAATGCTCAGAATTTCAGGGATTTTTCTTGAACTTAGGCATTTCAGTTGACACTCAGCCAGTTTTCAGTGCAGCACAGCTGATAGTGATAAGCCTAAACCCTCCCTCAGGGGGTTTACCTGAGCTGCTACTCAGGTAAAAAATTCTGGGCACCCCATGGAGAAATGGGATGCCAGTCTACCTAGGTAGCCAGCATGGAATAATCAATATTCAATGATTATTTGAATATTCATTGCATTGGCCCTAATTGGTTTATATACATAAATGGGACCAAAAAGAGGAAGATGTTACTGTTAGGGATAATAAGACCATGGTTGAGACTTAATAAAACCAAGTCAAGGAGTAAATCATGAGGTATGCTTGTGGACTCATAAAACTACCAGGTTTTTGCCAAATCTGAGCTGGATCTTACTAGGATTCTTCTAGTATAAGCAAGAAGAAACTTTCAGGACATCATTTTAATGAGACGTGTCAGAAATTTTACTAGTCAAGTAGATGAGTGTGATCACGTTAGGCAACCCTATCCCAAAGAACAAGAATATAGGCAAACCATTTTCCTACAGTGGTGACATGACATCTGGTGTGGCAAACAGCGAGCTAGGGAGTACATGGACCCACTATCTCGCACACTCCGGCTTTCAGGACTCCCACTAAGGCACCGACTGGTTAGAGGACCTACTCAAAGTCAAATCCTTTTGTGGAGTACATGGAAGTTGTTGCCATTTTCCATGATCTGATTTTTCCATTAGATAACACCCCCATTTCCAAGCTTACTTTAGTATCTTCCCCCCTGGTAATATACTACTTAAGGATATTCTAATGAAAAGAGTCTGCATTTTGCAAACTCTGCAGCCAGCACCTCAGCCTTCTCATCCACCCACAGGACTCCTTGAGCAACCAGTATTCAAGATAAGAAGGAAGGTCTTCCTCTTTTGTTCACTCTGAGAAGCTGTCAGGCCGAGAAGCGAGGACTTGTCATATTGTGGGTAAGTTGGAACTGGTTTAGTATTTTCCATGGAAATAGGAAATGCTTCTCCTGTGGCCGTGGGTCTAGAAAAATGTTCTGGCACTGGGAAATTTTTCAAGAAGTCCTTATTACAGGTCCTGTCTTTATTTCTTGAAAGCAGTGATAGGGACATCTGTCTTACATTCTTCTTCCCACTTATACTTGGTTAAGGAATGTGCGTATTAAGGGGGTTTATGGTACATGCTTTAGCATGCGTGAAAGAGAGGTGAATTCATGTTAAGCAGTTTGGTGTGAACTGAAATAAAGTCGCAAGAAAGGGAGTCTGAGTCAAATGTGGTGTGCAGGTTATTTGTTATTAAAAAGGTAAAAAGATGGGTGACTTCACCGAGGCCCATAGTAACAACACAATTTATCACTTGCCACACATCTCCTTAATAAAAGGATGAACCCAGTTAAATGTTGGTCTCACTGTGGAAGGAATACTTACTTTATTCATGGCCAAAGTCAGTGTTTTTCAACCAACTGCTTGCGACCCACTGGTAGAGGGTGGGTCGTGAAACTTAATAACAATGAGTATTTTAAAGGAAATAAAAAGGACTATAATTATAAAATAGCAGATGCCACATGCAGTGGTTATTGATTCATAAAATTTGGTTCTGTTTTCTCTCTCTCTCCCCACCCCTTCTTCAGTGGGGTATGGCCAAAAGTATCTCTAAATCAGTGTTGCTAGATATATAATGTAAGCCAGACACAGAAAGTACTGTATAATCTCATTTATATGTGGTGGTTGCATTAGTCAAGCTTTTAGAAGCCGAAAGTAGAATGGGGTTTGACAGGAACTGGTGTTGGGGAGAGACACTGGTCAAAATGTACAACATTTCAGTTAGGCAATATAGATATACATATATGTACATGTCTGTACATATAGATGCATGCACGACCACACTGCATAAGCACGCCTGCATAGAATTGTATAGAGATGGGTGACACTTGCATGAAATAGAGAAGATAGGATCCTTGTTACATGTAAGTTATAAAAATAGGACTCGATCCTTCTAAATTTGGAATCCTTAGGGCCTGCCTAGTGAGTATTTATCTCTCAGTGCCTCACCCGTCATTAGGTGCATGCCACCGGCAGTCAACGATCTTGTACAGCATTTTCGTTTTATCTGTTATTTGCACAAATGCTAGCACCCATCTTTCTGCCCTGTGCTGTGTGTGTAACTCTCTCTTTGATCTATCATCATCTATCGTCTACTTCCCAACCTACCATCTTTCTGTCATTACCTATCTATCCACTATCTAGGTCCACAATTAGAATTAATGAACAGTATGCTGTTCGTGAAATCTTTTCCTGCTTTTCATTATGGAGATTTTCAAACATACACAATTGCAGTAACAACAGCACAATGAACCCCACGGACCTGTCACCCAGATTTAATAATAACCAACTGCTGGCCAATCTTATTTCACTTTTACTATACCACTTTCTTCCTTACAACACTCCTGTTCCCCAATTTTCCTGTTGTAATTTCTGTTCATTTCATTATTTTGTCTGCAAAATGTGTACCTGTCTTCAGAACATCAGGCCTCTTAAACACAACTGCTGTAGCCACCTGTGCCTCCCTCGGGAGCAAGCACCTGAGCTGACAGATGAGGAAACAGAGTGAATGATCGTATCTGTGAAAAGAGAACAACTGCTCTTATCAGCATATATCGAGCATTAGGATCTTTAAAACGCTCTTTGTTTGAGTTAGGATTCAGAAAAAACACTGCAGTTGGTTGATATGTTTCTAAGTTTCTTTCAATCTAGATAATCCATGTGTTTTTTACCCCCTTATTTTGTTTTTAACGAAGGTAACTGGTTTACAATGCTGTTTGGCTTTTTGGGGTGTACGATGTCCCCTTCAGGTGTTACCACACCACGCCCACCACCAAAGTGCCCAGAGCCACCCTTAGCCCATCGTACCCCTTCCCCACTTTGTCCTCCTGCCTCCCTCCTCTGGTAGCCTCTCCACAGTCAAACTCTGGGTTTGTTAATAGTTTGACCTCATCTGACCCTTCAGGTCCTCTATCCTCCGCAAACAAGTGACGTCAGCCTGGGCTTGTCCTTCTCCTTGGGACTTACTTCCTTTAACACAATTTCCTCCTGTCCCACCCATGTTGTTGAAAATGGCAAAAGTGTGTTTTTTCCCATAGCTGAGTAGTATCACCTTTCCTTTGTATGGGGGAAGAAATTGTCCTGCGGAGGTTCTCACACTCTGGATCTTCCTGGTTGCAATAGAACAGGGTCTTCAGGCCCAGAGGTTACTCTATGAGTGGGTCCTACATGGCCATTCGTTGGGCTCTGAGCTTGCTTTCTGCGGGCAGCTCTGCTATTATTCTTCCTGTAGCATCATTTTTTTTTTTTTTTTTGTAGATAATTTCACAGTACAACTGTTGGATCAAACATAGGCAGAATTGAAAGGATTTGGACACCCATCAGTCCTCTGGCCGGTCAGCTGGCCGCTCCATTCTGAGTGGGTTTCTTCATTCCAGAGGCCCTGGCCGCATCCTCTGAGGGCTTCTCTGATTGTTGTCCTGGTGTCTCAGCGCTATGGGAAGCAGGTGTCTGCCTCTGCTCTCAGGTGAGTGGATCAGAGAATTCCACACCCTTCTTCCCAAACTCCCTCCCCCCAGTCTCCCAGCTTTGGCTGTTCTCCCAAACTTGGCCCTTTGTCCAGAACTTACTGTGTGTGTGTTTCATTAGACTCTCTCATACTGAGTCTTTTCATTGCTTTTCCCAAAACAAAGACTTAAGTACACATGGTTTCCCTGGGAGGAATCTGAAAACCATCAGAGAGGATTGGAAGTGTCAGAGAAAGAAGTGCAGAGTGAGTGAAGGGTGTGTGAATGTGGGTGACTGCTGTGGGTGACTGGCACTCGATCCTGCTGGGGACCTCCCAAGGGGCAGTAGCTAATTTGTCTTAGAAAGACAAGGAGGTTAGGCTCGTTCTCTTCCAGTGGACAGGCACTCTCAGTGGCTCCTGGCTGCCTACATGGGTTACAGAGAGCTGCAGCTCCTTACCTCATGAAGACCTGCTCCAGAGTAGGCCCTTCTGATGGCGCCCTGAGTGCTGAGGGGTCCTGGAGGTTCTTGACTTCTGAGCAGGAAAGCATTTGTGCATGAGTCAGTATAGGTTAGAAATAATCTATTGTGAGAGCGATGGGGTTTAGGTGTTGGGGTTTGATGAAGTGGGGTTCTTGGGACTAGGTGAAGAACCTCTTACAGTTGCAATCAAGTGTTCCCCTTGTGCCCCAGTGCTCCTGCCTTTCCCCTCCCCCCTGCCCTCATGCTTAGAGCCTGCCCAGGGTATCCATCATGAGCCTGGCACTTGTGTGAATGGGCAGGGGAGACAAAGCCCTGCCTCACTCAGTTTTCTGCCAAGAAGAGCCCTTGGGCATCTCCCATCTGAACTAGCTGGTTTCTCTTTTCCAGGCCTCAGTGTCCTGCTGGTGCTGTCAGGGCCAGAAGTGAGGAGTCACAAATGTGAGCTATTCCTTGTCAAAGACTTGGATATACATGGTTTCCTGGGGGAACGGGGGGTCGGGGGGGGTGGTGGAAATGGGGTTTGGGAACCTGTCTCCAGAGGGAGGAACACTTAACTCCTGCTACTCTTTACCTTATTTGGAGCTTCCAAGGATCTTCCCTGATCTCTCATTACCATCATCAACCCCATTTATTTAACTCTGGCACTGCCACAGATTCAGTGCTAAGCTAATTGCACACACCCCTGCCTCAGTCCTTGTGACGTTGCCCTGAAGACGATCCTGACAGCATTGCCACTCACCACTGACCCTCGTACAGCTGGTGGATGTTGGGTTCTGCCCTTCTTTCCCCAAAATCTATGTCCCAAATCATGCTGGGAGATACTTTTGTCTTCACTGCATGTCTACTCATTTCAGAAGTAGACTCTGAAATAAAGACTCCAGAGCATTCATTTCTCTGAGAGGTGATTCCAGGAAGCACCAGCTTGGTGTGGGAAGTTAGATAAGAAGACAAGGAGACACTACAGAGTCTAATGTCCAACATGTGGGTACCTGGGACTTCAACCCCCAGGGGACTGTTGGGCAGGAAGGAACATGCACTTGAGTGTTATTCCCCTCAATGGTAAGGAAGTTGATTTCCTATTATTTTTTTTAAAGTATGCTAATATACACACACCATAAAATTTGCCTTTTTTATCATTTTAAGGAAAAGTTTAGTTGCATTAAGTACATTTGTGTTGTTGCACAATCCTCACTGCCACCCACGCCCAGAACATTCTCCCTTCTGCAATACTGAAATGAGGAACCCATTGAACACTCACTCACTGTTTCCTTTCCCAGAACCTATGGCCTACTTCCTGTCCTATTTCCTGTTCCCATGAGCTTGACAACTGTAGGGACCTTGCATTAGTGCAATCACATAGTCGTGGTTCTCCTAAGAACAATTTGTTTATTCATTTAGTGTCTTCTGGGCTCATCCATGTTGGTGCATGTGTTGAACAACAATCCGTTGTGTGCCTAGACCAAGTGTTATTCATCTACTCGCCCTTTGATGGGTACTTGTCTTATTTCTACCTGTGATTAGTGCTGCTTCAAGACCCTGATTTCAATTCACTGGGGTACACTAAGAGTGGAATTTCTGGGTCACAGTGTAACTCTAATTAATTAAACATTTATTTTTGGTTCATTTTAGGAACTGTTTTCCACAACAGTCACACCATTTCACCTTCCTTTCTGCAGTGCATTAGGGTTTTAACTTCCCCACACTCCACCGACACTTGTTATTCTCTGACTATTTTTAATAAAAAGGAAGCTGAGCTTTTTTTTTTTTTTTTTTTTTTTTTATGAAAATGATTTTTTTATTTTATTTTATAACAGTTTATTTTTACATCATTTTGTACATTTTTTCCCCATCTCAGTTGTAATCCCCGCGGGTTTCCCATCACCAAGTCACCCGTGTGCCATCACCATAATCTCGTACACTTCCCTTCTCCCCCCCCCACCGTTTTTGATCCCATTCCCCACTCCACCCCCACAAAATGTCTCTGGTATATGGTTGTTCATTATTCTTGTTATTTTCTCGCCTGGTCCATTATACTCCTGCTATGAGTGAAACCATCCGGTATTTTTCTTTCTCTTTCTGGCTTACCTCACTAAGCATGATCTTTTCCAGCTCCATCCAAGTTGCTGCAAAAGACATGTGTTTCTCTTTTTTGGTTGCTGAGTAATATTCCATTGTATATATGTACCACATCTTTTTAATCCAGTCATCTGGAAGCTGAGCTTTTAATGCCACTGACCTTTATAGGTTATTGGTTGGAGGCAATGCTTCTGGGGGAGGAGATATGCTAACTTGCCTCACAGTGAGCTAGGAGGACTGGTAGGCACAGAAAGCCCTCAGATAAAGAAATCAGACGCTGGCATTTGAAAGTATTGTCACACAAAAGTGGTGTTGATGGAGGAAGTGGGATATGTGCAGTGTTCCACAGTTGGGTGCTTGCAGAAAGTATGCCGACGGACTTAATCCCAAGAGGACATTCGTGCAAACACGGTATATGGTACATTGTGCATTTCAGAGAATATTTCTTGAGTGGTGACTAAGAAAATAAGGGAAAGTGTGTGTTCTCCACAGTGCTCTCTCTTCTCTGTCCTGAAAATGCCAGTTCCTACAACAACACCCTGTGTGCCTGTAACAACGGGTTTCAGTCATCTGTGTCCAGGGGCAGATACCTCACCAAGCCCAAGGAGAAATGTGAAGGTAAAGGAAAAGCCCACACTCATCTTGGAGTTTGGACAAGGCAGGACCCACCGTCCAGACCCCAAAGAAGCTCGTTCTGCAAAAATGCCAAAAATGCATTAATACTGCAAGAGAGGTCAGGACGGTCTTACTGTCCTTCAAGAAGGCCTAACCCACTGTCCTGCTCCCAGTCTCATTCTCATCCTGATTTATTTTTTTTTTTCTGTAGAAGAAGGTAGAAGGCCCTGGGATCTTTCAGTTTCAAGAACTGGTGGTTTTTGTTAGCTGACACCTCTAACATATTAGCGATTTGATAAGTCACCGTCATATTCTGAAGCTCCATATGTAGTTGGGCTTTAAGTCAACTCTACTGCTCTGTGGATCTATTTATGCACCAGCTCCTCATTGTCTCAAATATGTTTTCGTATCTGGGAAGGTTAGTCCCCATCTCAGTCTTTGGCTATTTTTGCATGATCATATCAACTCTTTTCCATAAAACAAGTGCAAAAGCTTTATATTGGAATCATATTGGGTTTGTAAAACAACTTAAGAAGACTTATCATATTTATAATATCAAATCTTTCTTATCCAAGGATATGCTGTTTGGGGTACATTTATACATGAGGGGTGGTAGAGATTCCATAGGTGAGGGAGAACATTATAGTTTTATGAGGATGACAACTAACATTTTCTTTTGATTGATAGATATTGATGAGTGTAAGATGAAATCAGCAAAGTGCAAGGACATTTCATATTGCAAAAACACCATTGGGAGTTACTACTGCAGTTGTCTTTCAAGTCGTTTCTTCTACTGGTTGGGTGCTATCTTGCCATTGGATTATCCAGAGTGTTATGGTAAGAATGTCCAAATACTCTCTTCATGAAAAAGGAGGACTGTGGGTGACGCCACTGAGAGATCTGTGATTTTCAGGCCAGGATGAGAGCAGAGCTTTGCGTTGGCTTTTGTCCTTCACCTATTGCTGTCCCTGATGATCTTTCCCCAGATGTTATTCAAGCTCATGACAGCAACAGCCATCTCTGTGTTGTGTAGACAACCGCATGTGTTACTACACTTTTCTTAGCTCAAAATTTTCTGTACCCCCAAGATACTGATCCTCTTCTATATATCCCAGGTCATTTAACCTGTCGATTAAGAACATTTTGGATCTTTGTAATTACTTAATTATTTGCCTATTTTGCTTAGTGGCTTTCCCACCTCTTTGTCTCTTTATTAACCTGTAACCAAAAGGCTTAACATCACTGGCTGACTTAAAAGTACTTAATGAATAATATTGGTTGAATTACTGAGCGGCAGCTCTATCCTAACTGCATTTTAAAATTCTACTTAGAAGACATTTGGAACTTCTTGGAGGGGGATTAAAATAGGTTGTGGCAGGATCAGAGAAAGACCCAATTTGAGGGTGATTGGAAGAGGGATGTGATCAGGCTGTGTCACCAACTGGATTTTGTCTAATAGCTGCTTTTATTTCCCAGAGAACTCCAGTGTGGAGACACGGCCACAAAAGGATATCGTGGTGAGTGAAGGGAAGCCTGGATTTGGAAAACAGCCACTCTTACCACATCATTTTCCTGCGTAAAGACCACATTCTCCCCATGACTGTGAGAACACAGCAGTAATCATCTAGGAGTGACTTAGCCCTGTCCCTGGGTTCATCTGGCAGTGTCCGAGGACATTTTTGGTTGTTACAACCAGGGTTAAACTGCTATCTTAACAGTAACTGGTGCTGTTAAGATCTAGTGGGTAGAGAGCAGACATAACATCTAAACATACAGCAATGAGCGGACACCCTCCACAGCCAAGCCCTTTGAGCCTCACGTGTCAAGAGAGACCGAGAAACCCCAACGAGGGGTTGAAAGGCCGCAGTTGTCGTCAAAGATCTGACTCAAGCGCCGGGAGTCTTGCACCATCACTTATCACTTCCTCTGGCCTGGCTTCTGCCATAAGACACTCTTGATAGTTTCCTGATCGCTCACCCTTCAGCCTTAACATTTTAACATTTTCGCAAACACAGTGGCATTACAATGAACCCTTCAGGAGGCTTTGTGTGATAGGTGAGAAAACGTGTAACAGTTTGGTAGCACCTTAATAGGTATTAGAGTCTTCTAGTAGCACCTTAATAGGTATTAGAGTCTTCTGGACCTGCCCAAGCACTAAAGGGTAGCCTGGTTTTCTTAAGTATCAGTTGGAAATTACCTAATTATTTTTCTGTTTTTAGATGAATGTATTGAGGATGGCTGGAAGCGAAAGGGACATTGCAAGAAAAGCTACTGAACTTCTCCAGGGTGTGGAACTGCAGGTTTGGAATAGGAGTGTTCCAGAAAAGAGTGAAAATTCTGAGCTTGGTATAAGTAAGAGACACTGAGCTTTTTTATTATCACAAACTTTTATGCAGATGGTCTTTTGTTAAACCTGACATTTACATGTTTATACACTTAGAGAGAATCCACCCAAGGAATTCTTTACAAAGTGGAAGATCTGCTCTTAGATGATTTAAAAACTTTTCGATGCTTAGCTTCTCTGGCTTAAAACTTAAATTCCTTCCTCATTATGCACTTCATCATTATTCTTTTTTCCCCCTTTAAATATTCTGTGGCAAAGACTCAATTTGCACACCCTACTTCCAGTCTGGGGAATATTGCCAGCCCTTTCGCTCCCTGGGTTTTGTGGCTAGCATGCATGGCTTAGGACATTTGTTCCATCTCATCCCCACTGGCTGGAGATATGGGCAGGAATGCAGCTGGTTTTGCACTGGTACGGAGGTCATTCAAAGAAAGAAGTTCTTAAATAAATTTCTTACGCATGAGAAATGAGCTGATTCGCTTTCTTCATGTTTCCAGTCTTTGAAACCAAGCGATGTAATGACACACACGAGAAGACGCTTCTGGAGGCTGGAAATAACACAATGAAGATCGACTGTACGGATGTTTTCAAAGGAGACACAAGAGGTACTCTGTCTGACCTCCCAAAACCCTCGGCCAATCCTTTTTCGGTGATTGGGCCAGGGAAAAGAGATTCACAGGGGTTTGAGGATAGGAATTAAAAGACGGAATTAAGAGATCTACCTTGAGTTTAGACAGTGACTTGACCATCACATTATTGGGTTCTGGGGTTGCCCTCTTCAAAATATTTTTTTTTTATTGTTGCTGCTTTAGTTATTAGAAAGTGAACAATTTGTGACCATGTCTCCAAATGACAATAATTGAAGACTAAGAAACAGTATGTCCCTAAATTTTTACTCTTTTTTAAGGGCTAAACTTTTTGCATTCATATAGCAATGATTCATTACAGTGTGAAAAATGGAAGCATGTATTTTGGGCAGAAAATGTCAATTTAAAAATGCCTGTAGATAAGAAAATGATCTGCCCTGTGCAGCAATTATGGATTTAAATAATGACAAGAATGTCTCCTATACAAATTGTTCCCATCACATTTTGCCTCCAGAATGCAATAGCTCATTCCCTCCACTGCTCTCAGAGAGGCAGATGCTTTGATTTTGGTCCAAGTTATAACCACAGTGTTTGTTTAGTGTGTGTCCTGCTGATTCGAGCTTGTTTATATTTTGTTCCTTTAATAAAATGTGTTCATTTAAAACAAAGATCTGGGGCCCTGCCTGGCGGCGCAGAGGGTCAGGGCACAGCACTGGAAGCTGGCCCAAGCCACTTCCGTGCTGGTTCAATCCCTGACCCTGGGGGTGATCCACATGGCGCAGTAGATCTTTCCTGTCTCCCCACTACTCCCCTCAGCAGTGTACTTCATTGATCTGCCTGTTCTGCTCCCCACTCTGTCTCTGGTGAATCCTCTCACTGCCCCTGCACCTCTGGCCTGTACCCCAGTTCTGTATGCATAAATAAATTAAAACAAACAAACAAACAAAAAACAAACAAAGACCTGGCCTGCATGGTCCTTCACCAGGCAGTTTTGGGCTTTGTATGCTTCCTGATATGCAGCAAGCCCCAGTCAGGGATCCTGTGACATTTTCCTCAAAAGGGACAGGCTGACACATGCTGTTTTGGACAAGATGGTCCAAAAAGGCAACAGTATTGGCAGGTGATTCTTGTCTCGTTCCTTCCCCGAGAAGCATTTCTCTAAAGTAGCCAGCTGTTTTTCCTCTGTCCTACCACTTGGCAAATTCTTTCCTGTAGAAGGACCAGCTGGAAAATATTTTTGACTTTAAGCCAGACGACCTTTGTTATAATTACTCAAGGCAGATGTTACAGGGTGAAAGTGGCCATAAATAATATGTAAACAAAGGGGCGTGACTGTGTCAAGATGATTTTATTTGCACACATAGGTGATAAGCTGGGTTTGGGTCTCAGGCTCTGGTTTGCCACTCCTGCTTTATTCCGCCACCTTGCTTAAGTCTCCACCTTGCACCTACATGCTGTGGTATTTTTCTGATTCATTTCTTTGTCCCATGACCTCAGCTCTCTTGGCAAGGAGTCTGGGTGCTCTGCTCATGGCCGTGTTGCAATGCCCGGACACCCCTGGCAGACAGGCGATGCTCCATGCATGTTTGATAATTGAGAGAATAAACAGATGAGTGAAGAATGCTTGAAATTATTTCAAAGAGAAAGTTGCTTGGAGAGAGTGAAAGAACTGTTTTCCTTCAGAAAAGATAGTTTTTCCAGAAAATTCCTAACTACTGATTAATCTTCACTTCTTATTGTGAGCTGGAGGGTGGGATGGGAGGAGGTGTGGGAGGGAACATATTAAGATGAATTGATTTTCAAAGTGAAGTAAACAAGGCTGACGGTTAGTAGTTTTAGCTTCAAGTGGGATGATGACATATGGATTGTTGTCGCTTGCGCAATGCTGCTTCTGACTCCAGAGTAACTATTATGCACTTCTGTGAATTAAATTATTCTTGCATGAAAATGGACAGAGAAAGAAAGAGCGAGAGAAGGGGAGAGTAGGGGAGGGGAAGAGAGTAGAGGGAGGGAAAGAGAGACACACACACAGAGGATGATTTCACTCACCTACGGAACCAAAACAAGTATCAGATCTGACTGCAGAGCGGGGTACGGGGGGGGGGGGGGTGTGGCGGGGCCCAGGGGACCCCGGGGGGTGTGAACCAGTACCCTGTAGATGGTGTATGATACCACCGTTACCCCAGTAAAAATGATCCAATAGTATAAAGGACAGAAAATTAAAGAAAAGGAAGGGAGGGAAGAAGATGAGAATGAATGAAATGCCACACATCCTGCATAAATTTCTGTTAATTAGACACCGGAGTGAACTTGAGGTGGAAGCTGGGAATGTGTTTTTCACCCTCCTTGAGTGTCCCCTGCCCCTCGGGCAAACCTCTTGAATTCTGACAGATGTCGGTGCCTTATGGATCCGCCCCTCTTTACCACATACCGAGGGAGTGTTTTGCATTGTGTCACGCGCCTTGAGGTGTTTCAGTATGTGTGACAGGTACCGAGCATGGCACTCCCAACACTAGCAGTCTGTCAAGGGTCCATGTAAGGTGTAACGATTCCCCAACTACAGGACACGATCAGGTTCATGGGAAGGGACCAGTCCCTAGTGTCTGGTGGACTGATTCCCCCAATCTACGGATGGTCTAGAACGTGTCTTCTCTTGTGTTTCCTCAGCTGGCAGTACAGTGGCACTCATCACGTACCAAACTCTTGGGAGTGTTCTGAACGGGTCCTTTTTCAGCGACAGGAGAGGGCTGCAGGAAGTGAAACTGAACTCCCGCATCATGAGCGGCACCATCGGTGTGGGAAAAGTGTACCTGTCTAAACCTGTGCTCCTGACCTTCCAGCACACCGAGGTAAGCAGCCCTGGCTGGCTCCCTCTGCTTCACCTTAGAGGGGCGTGTCCCTGGGGTCCTGGAGGAACCCGAATCCATCTCTGACCACTCAGAGTTAGAACTGGTAACAAGTGTGGAAGTCTGAAAACATCCCTGACCTCCCTTCCCACTTATGAGCTCCTCTCATTGGTTCTCCCCACGGCCAGGAGCCTGGGGGAAGCAGTCCTCTCATCGGTTTGTGGGGCCCTGGCATGATCACAAGTATACCTTCTAAGTGAGGCGTGAGCCCACAGCAGGTGTGGGGCTAAGACACTCTTCCCTGTGAGTGTTCCAGGTGATACTTCCCAGTCCAGCTTTCCCAAGCTTAACCCAGGCAGTTGAAACAACAGAACCAGAAGGTCTATTTGCATGCTGTTCTCTTTCCAGCCTGGTGGTGAAAGGACAAAACATCTGTGTGTCTACTGGGAAGGATCGGCGGAGGGAGGCAGCTGGTCCACAGAAGGCTGCTCCTACCTAGCCAGCAATGACTCTCACACCATGTGCAAGTGCTCTCACCTGTCCAGTTTTGCAGTCCTCGTGGCTCTTGTTCCCAAGGTACTGAGGGATGGAGAAGGGGTCGGTCCCTTCCTGGGAATCTGATTGTGTCCAGGAAGCTGTTCTTTCTGTCATAGTAGATAACGCTAAGAGGCAGACTTCAGTGGAAGGAGCTCACTTGGGAGGGAGATAACGCCAGGATATTGGGAAGCTGAGTTGTCATCTCCTTCAGTGGAAAGGTCTAGAGTGATCTGGGATCTGACACGCTTGTTACTTTGCAAAAGGAAAGCAGACCTTCCCTGTCAGGTCAGAAAGAGGCATTCATTGTTGCTCATGGTTAAGTCTCAGCACTATGAAGCGCTCACCAGCAACTGCAGCAGGAGTTCGAACCCCAGCCAGGGAGGTGACCCACAGGGCACAGCAGACCTCCCCCATCTCACCCTCTGCTCCCCTCAGCAGTGTATTTCAGTAGATCCACCTGTTCTGCTCCCACTCTGTCTCTGGTGAATCTTCTCACTGCCACCCCCACACCTCTGGCCAACACCCCAGTTCTTGGATGTATAAATGAATAAAATAAGCCTAACTTCTTCCCCTATTTTTTTTAAAGATTTATTCATTTGTGCATACAGAACTGAAGTACAGGCCAGAGGTGCAGGAGCAGTGAGAGAATCCACTAGAGACAGAGTGGGGAAACAGAACAGGCCGACTGACGAAGTACACTGCTGAGGGGAGCAGCAGGTGGGTCAGGAGAGGTCTGCCTTGCCATGTGGGTCACCTCCGGAGTGGTGAAAAATCTGAAATGATATATGTAACTGACATACTTCAGTTCGACAGTGCCTGTCTAACGGTCTGGTTTCTTCAATAGCCCTGAGTGGTAAATGCTATTGCTGCAAAGTCTCAGTGAGGCTAAGTCACTCACTTTGGGGGGCTGAACTGGGAGCCCATGTGACTCTAAATAAGGCTCATAATGGCAGCAACGGCAGCTATGGTGATTCCTTCCTTGGTGACTCCTAGGTGGACCCTGTCCTGACTGTGATCACCTACGTGGGGCTGAGCCTTTCTCTGTTCTGCCTTCTCCTGGCAATCATCACCTTCTTTGTGTGCCGGACCATCCAGAACACCAGCACCTCCCTTCACCTGCAGCTGTCCATCTGCCTCTTCCTAGCCCACCTTCTCTTCCTCACAGGGATTGATCAAACTGAGCCAAAGGTAGGTGATCTCACCAGAACACTGTTGTCACAGTGGAATCTAGCATCATGTCTTGCAGAAAGAGGGGGAGAAAGGCAGTGGTCTGTAGTGATGCTATGGGGGTGGGAAGAGTTTCAATTTCAGTTCTCCTATAATATTTCTCTGGGCAAGACCCATACTTTTTGAGGGGCCATTTAGCAAACAGGTGGAGAATCAGACTGGTGGTATCAGACAGGATGATAGCTGCTGTAGCAAATAAACTCGACAGTGTCCATGCTTAGTGCAAGACCAGTTCATTGTCCCCTTGCATATTAGTAGAAGGTTTGAAGGGTGTCTATCTCCATCCCCAGGCTCATGGGAGCTCTTTTAGCTGCCACATGCAGCATTCAGTGGCACCCCAGAGACCTTATGTGTTAACCAACTAGCAAGAGGCAGGAGCATGGCAGAGTCCTGTGAAGGAAATTTTAAGGGTCTCTTCCCATAGGAGGGTGGTGCCTGTCAGTTTCCCTCAGACCCTCTTGGCCAGGCTCAGTTGCATGGCCACACCTGATTGCAAGGGGTGCTGCAAAATTTGGTCTCTGGCTGGGAAGTCACACTTCCGTGACCAAGCTATATTCTAGGAGTGAAGGGGAGGACGGATTGGATTTTTTGGTGGACAGTGACTTAGCCACATGTGTTTGCACCTGACTCTCATCCTATTACCAAGCAATTGACTTGCTCTCTGCTGTATTATTTGTAGAAGCTTATATTATGGTATCAAAGTTTGAGATACTTTATTGAGAATCGACTGGTAGACAGGAGGTAGGAGATAAACTCAAACCTATCTCCTTGATTAAAAAAGAAAATGAGGTTATATAGGTATGGGTCTCGGTCATTCTTTTTTTTTTTTTTTTTTGTCAGCATTTCTTTGTTTATTTGAAGTTTTTGTGGTTCATATGAATCTCAGTAATGTTTGTTCCATTGCTTTGAAGAATACCACAGAACTTCTATTGGGACTATATTGAATTCGGTATATTGCTTTGGGTAGAATGGCCATTCTGATAATGCTGGTTCTTTCAATCCATGAGCAGGGAATAGCTCACCATTTCTTTGTGTCCTCTATTTCTTTGAACAACATCTTATAGCTTTCTTTGTATAAGTTCTTCACCTCTTTTGTTAGGTTTACCCCTCGGTATTTACATTTTTCTTTTTTTGGTGTAACTATAAATGGAATTTTCCCCTTAATTTCTTCCTCTTCTAGATCATTGTTTGCATATAGAAAGGCAACGATAAAAAAAATTATTTTGTTTATGTATGCATACAAGAGCTGGGGTGTAGGCCAGGAGTGTGGGGGATGAGAGGAATCACCAGAGTGGGGAGCAGAACAGGCAGATATACTGAAACACGCTGCTGAGGGGAGCAGCAGGGAGACAGGAGAGGTCTGCTGCCCTATGGGGGATTCAATCCCTGGTTGGGATTGAATTCGTGCTGCAGCTTGGCAACTGATTTTTGTGTATGACGTTGTAACCTGCCGTTTTGCTAAACAGTTTTCCCACAGAGTCTTTAGGGCTCTCTATGTGTTGGCTTCACGTTCTGAACTCTCCTCTCCCCTTCAGGCGCTGTGCTCCATCATCGCTGGGGTGTTGCACTATTTGTACTTGGCCGCCTTCACCTGGATGTTCCTTGAGGGGTTGCACCTCTTCCTCACGGTCCGGAACCTAAAGGTGGCCAACTACACTGGTGCAGGCAGATTCAAGAAGAGGTTCCTGTATCCTATTGGCTATGGGATTCCAGCTGTTATTGTGACTGTGTCTGCAATAGTCGGACACAAAAGCTACGGAACGTATACTCAGTAAGCACTCATGGTGGAGTGGTTGACACATAATATGAGATTCAAAACAATGTGAATCTGTTTTCGTTTGTAAGTGTGCTTCAAACCAATGCTTCCTTGTCCGCAGTGTCCCTTCTCTTGGGCATCCCTAGGACAATGGTTCTCAGCATCTTTGGGATTGGATCCTTTTGAAAATTTTGGTGAATATCAGGGTCTGTTTTTTCTAGAAAGATGTTCACACAAGCAAACATCCCAACAAAAGTTTGAATGCAACTTCAGGAAATTCAGAGAAAAAAATCCATGAGTACAAATCAAAACTTGTGGGGCTTCAGCAGGGTTCTGACTCGGTTGAGATTAATCTCCAAAATATAAAAAGAATAACAAAAATAGCAACAAATCTTGAAGGCTTGTGATGCATGAGAGAGAGGGCTTCATGCAGATGCGGTATCTCCTCTCAGTCTCCCTGTTACTCTACAAGGCCATTTGTGCATCTGGGACTTAGTGTATTTAATAGACTTTCTCAAAGTCACAGTTAAGATGAGAATAAGTCAGAATTTCCAAAGCAGTACTCAGCCACGTTTTTCTGCCTCACTAAAGAAGTTGGCAAAGTTGTGCAAAGTCAGTTGAAAATCTAGTATTATGGCAGTGAGGCTTGGGTTAAGAGGTAGGTGTCCTTGTGCTGACCACTTATACGAGGTCATCCTTCTTGAAGTCCCAGAGATGCCTTGTGTCTGGCTTGAACCTTATTTCCTCTCACAATGACCCTGGAGATAGAAAGGTGGGTAGGTCAGGGATTGAAAAACTTTTTATAAATGGCTAAATGAGACCATTTGGGGCTTTGCTGACCACATGGACTTATGGCAACTATTCAATGTTGACCTGTCAGGGTGAACAAGTCAGGTATTAGACAAGGACATGGGTGTATGCAAAGTAGTGTGTGATTATGTGTCAATAAATCTTTAAAAAAATGAAGGGTGAACTGGATTTGGCCGAATGGCCTTATTTTGTGATGCTTGGTTCAAATGTCAGTATGGGGAACTCTCTGAAATTTCCTGTCTACTGAGTGCTCACAATTGGTTGTTACTTTTACTAGATTTGCATTGCAAGTCATGTTACCTTTTCCAACATAAATTATGGCAGAATACAAAGTATTTGGCAACAGAATATGTGGTATATGGAATAAGTTTAATTAGTGTTGATAGTTTTTATAGCTGGAATTAAATTGCTCTTTTTTATTCTAGCACTCAGTATTATTATGATACCTACATTTATGTGCCATAAATATTTGCCAGTAATTATATCCCAGAAATGTATGCACATTATCTCATTTAATCTTTCCTACAATATCTTTATAAAGAAAACTACAAAAATTTTAGGTAAGAAATCAAAGAAGATTCAAAATGAGTGCATTTCTCCATAAGTAGTTGTTATAAAGTCCATATTTCTGCCAAGAAAGACTCGATAATGTCAAGTCTATTCTTTGCAAAGTGATCTATTGGTTCAACATATTGTCAATAAAAATCTCAGAAAATTACTTTGTAGATATCAACACATTGATGATAAGTTTACATGGAGAGGAAAGTCTGAGAATAGCAACACAACACTGAAGGAGAAGAACCAAGTTGGAAGATAAACCTTCCCTCACTACAGACTCGGTACAGAGCCATCAGAACCATCTAGTCTTATCGACACTTCTGTTGACTCCACTTTACACTTGGGAAAACGGAGCCCAGAGTACACACTTTGTGTCAGGACTCACATATGATTCCATTTAAAATTCAGACTTGAACTAAATATCTCCTGGCACTACTCAATCTTGCCAGCGGAGCGTGAATTCAAGCCTTCTGCCAAGGAACAGACAGCTAATGCTTATTTGTTCTCAACAGTTGCTGGTTCAAACTGGAGAAAGGGTTCATCTGGAGTTTCATGGGGCCAGTGGCCGTCATAATCTTGGTATGCGACTGTAATAGTTACTTTCTATGATTATTAGACTTGCTTGCCCTGGGTTGACCAAACTTAGGGTGTGTGCTTATCCATTAAAGCAGAGTGAGGATAAGGAAATGTAGGCGGCTGTGATGCACCGCTCTTACTAGGGTGCCATCATCATATATCTTTCTCTGGCTTCCCCTATCTCTGGTGCACTATAACCTCCTTCTGGGTATTCTTTTAAAAGTCTTAAACTTGTTCATTCAACAAATACTTAACAAGTGTCTACTCTACATAAAGTGACTTTATTTTAGAGTGAGCTATTTTCCTTTAGGACAGAAACTTTTCATTATATCCATTATCCTTAGCATGCCTTTACTTTCAAGATGTCCTAGTTTGAATGATAAATTACTTGGCCACCCTTATCCAGCACCAGGGCATAAGACCACACCATCCTTGTAGAAACTGTGTCATTTGTTAAAAGATTCCTTCTTATACCCTAGGTTGGGGTGACTATATATGACATGGTCTCAAAAGAAAATTCCAAATCAGTTTTTTATGCTATTTCCATAGATCAACTTGGTGTTCTACTTTCAAATTCTATGGATTTTGAAAAAGAAGATTTCCTCCCTCAATAAAGAAGTGTCCACCATACAGAACACTAGGTAAGAAGTACTAGAATCAATGGTACCCACATATTTGCTCTACAGGTCCGCTCTGCCCATGGAAGAAAAACCCAAGCAAAAATAGTATATAAACACTTCCTGGTATAGCATAAGGAATATGTGAGGGACAATTCACAGATGAAGAAAAAATTACAGTTTAGGTTACAATGTTCCCCTTCATTTCTTCATTCCACAAATTCTATACATTGGGCATCTCTTGGTGCAGCTAAACTCTTCACATGAAATTGATGTCAACAGTTTCAAGAAATGATACTTTCTTTTAAATTAATGCCCAGAGTATCAATATTATCCTTTTCTCTGCTGAGAGTCTACCCAATTCTGGATGTTTTTCTCCTTGGTTGTAGGCACTAAGTTCTTAGTGGATGTGATCTAAATGTCTAAAAGTTACAATGACTGCAAGGAATATTAACTAGGAGTGCCATGGATGGTGGGCATGTGTCAACATGATTTCATTGAATGTATGTAATTCTAACCACTGTAGTGGAAATTACTAATATTCAGTTGATCAGAGGAGCAAAATGCTCATCTTACACCAGCAAGGATGAGAACCTTTCATTGGTGAGTTGTCTGGAAAAAACTTAGAGGAACATCTGGCCAACTTCAGATACTGACTTTCATCTGTTTATCAGACCAGGCATTTCTTAACTTCAGTTTCTTCAATTCTGGAGGGTCAGAGTGTCACACTTCTGGTGGTCCCACACTCTTGTGTGTGAGAGGGCAGGCTTATGTATGAGCTTGCACATACACACTCATGCTCATCAGCTTTTCCAGTTGATGGGTCTCCCATTGACAACCCTGCCCTATTATTCCAGGTACCATTTTTGTTTGAAAAACTTATGTTGTTGTCCAAAATAATGAGCTCATCACCCAATTATTTCAATACAAATGTCTATAAGGCACTTTCTACAAATGTCCTAATAAGCCCAGATAAGAGAACTTGCAGATGAATCATTTCTAAGAGTAGGAAAATTATTATTCTCAGAGCAGTGATTAAAAGTGTGGGTTATGCCTCATTCTTAAATTGTGTGATTTTACATAAACAGCTTCATATGAGGCTCTTATAAAGTTTAAATCAAATGATGCAAAGTATACTTACTAGTCAATGATAGTTGATTGATATTACTATTCTTTTTCATTTTCAGAGTTATGACATTTAAAGCCATTGCTCAACTGTTTATCTTGGGCTGTTCTTGGAGTCTTGGTTTTTTTATGGTTGAAGGAGTTGGAAAGACAATAGGATCAGTCATTGCTTATATATTCACCATCATCAATGTCCTACAGGGGGTTTTGCTTTTTGTGGTACACTGTCTTCTTAATCGCCAGGTAAGGCTAATTACTTTGTCTCTCACCAACCTTCTCCTAAAGTCTAAGTGAATCATCATTCTTTTTCTTTCCCTTATCTAACCTCTTAAGTTTGTATTTTGGGAGTTGCCTTGATACTAGGAAGAAGGTGAAGGCTGTTTTTGGTGTGTCATTGGCTCTGGGTTTCACTAGCAACCTAACAATTCATATTCTAACATATCTCTTAGGAGTATACATTTGCCTGCTTTGCTGATGTAACAAAATAACATATAAGACTGTGCAGCTTAGACAACAAAAATTTATCTATTCTGGAAGCTGGAATTCTGTCTAGTTCTGGTTTGAGCTCTCTTCTTGGTTTGTAGATGGTCATATTCTTGCTGTGTTCTCACATGGGAAATGGGAAAGGGCTTTTTTTTTTTTAAGATTTATTTATTTGGACATACAGAACTAGGGTACAGGCCAGAGGCTCGGGGGCTATGAGAAGCTTCACCAGAGACAGAGTGGGGTACAGAACAGGCAGATCAACAAAGTACACTGCTAAGGGGAGCACCGGGTGGGTCAGGAGAGGTCTGCCGCCCCATGTGGTCACCTCGAACTCAGGCGGGAATCGAACTCATGCGGAAGTGGCTTCAGATTCTCAGTGCTTTGCTTTAACCCAGTGTGCCACCAGGGAGGGCCTAGAAAGGGCTTTTAAACCTCTTCTTATAAGGACACTAATCCAGCTGGATCAAAACTCTATCCCCATAACCTCAGTTAGCCTTAATTACTTTCATAAATGTCATATATCCAGATATAGTCACATTTGGGGTTAAGGCTTCAACATATGAATTTTTATATGTTTGGAGGCACACAATACAGCCCGTATCAAATTATGTATCAGTCAGGATAAAGTGGATTATGCTGCTGTAACAAGTTACCCCTCCTCCACTATCAGGGGTTTACAAAAATCAACTTTTATTTCTTGTTCATGCTACACAGCTATGGCTTGATCTACATTATTTTCATTCTGACAGGCAGGCTGAAGAAGCAACTCAAATCACCATACCGGAATTTACCATAGAGAGAATGAATCATTCTCCTGTGGTGGGGTGCCCTGTAGGGAGGGACCCTGCAATATTTGGTATAATATCTCACAAACTCGGAGGTGTGTCAGTTTTAATCTAAGCTCTTTTACTGAAAGAGTTGCTATGTGATCTTGAGAAGGCTGTTTACCCCTTCTGAGCCTTGATTTTCATATTTGCAAATGTGGCAGTTGAGAATTGAGAAAATGCAATATAAATCTACTAGCACAGTCCTTGGCTTATATTAAGCTCTCAGTGAGGCTTATTATTATAATTTTGCTCTTTATGAGAGATTTGGAGCAGTTTGCCAAAGCCTTTGAGTGGAACTACCAGCATTTAAGGTGATAATGGCAAAAGCCACCACTTTAATTCTCCTTCTTTCATTTTAGCATCTTCTGGTACTCCTCACAGAAAATAAACAGATAAAATAACATTTTGTGGTAAATATTTGAATGTATTTTAAAGAGCATGTTAAGGAAGTTTGACAAGGGCAGTTCATGGAATCACAGGGGAAGATTTAAGTAGGGGCTTGAGTCAGATCTTGGGAGTGATAATGACAGGATTTAGAATGCTCGTGACCTTAGACAAGTTAATTTACCTCCAAGACCCTCCACTTCTTTATTTTTAATTGGGGGTGAGAGACATAATGTCTTTGTTAGGATTATATAAAGACTAAATGGTATACGTGCATATTTGGAATGTTTTGACATAGCTAGTGTTCAATAAATGGTGATCTTCACCATCGTACCCACCACTGCCATCACCATCATGAGAATAAACACTCCTCATCACTATCATGACCTCATACTTCTTCCTCATCACCATTTCAACACCTTCATTATTTTCATCATCACCTTCATTGTCATTATCATCATCATCTTCTCCACCATCTCCTCCATTGCCACCATTATTATCACCTTATCTTCATCATCACGATGAGCACCACTGTAGAGTCCTTAGGGTGCCTGTCATTTATTAAATTCCTATATAATTGAGGAGGTTGAATTTGATAAAACGAGTCAACCTAGCATGGAAACATGATACAGAAAACTAGTGAAAGAGGAGAGACTAGGACTCAGCATCTGTATTTTGAGTCTCTTCTACTAGGTCCATTCTCCCAATGCAAGTTCTGGATATAACACAAATCCTATATTCATCAGGTGCGAATGGAATACAAGAAATGGTTTAGTGGGAAGAAGAAAGGGGTAGAAATGGAAACCACCGAGATAACTCATTCTACTGTACAATCCAAAGTGGTAAGATCAGCAACTTTGCCCTGCAATGCACTTGAACTGCACCTAACATCTTGTGCTTCTGTGAGCTTCCTGGCCTCTTGATTTAAAAGAAAAGAGAAATTGAATTAGGTGCTTGCTTTATATTGTTACATTTTCTGGGTCTTCAGACCAAAACAGAAATGTCCTTTCTTCTTTCTTCCCTACCTCCTTTTCTCTCTCCTTCTCTTCTACTCTCTCTCTTCCCCAACCTTTGTCTTTCTCTCTCTCCTCCTCCTCCCTTTCTCTTCCTCAGCCTACCTCCAGTATTTCCCCACATATGAAATGATATCTAACAAAATTTGAACTTATTTAACAACTTTCAGCTAACAAATATTTATTGAGTAGTTACTATGTGCTAGGTCTTTTTTTTTTTGATAGGTTGCTGGGAAAACAGCAGCGGACACATTAACAAAAATCCTTGCTCTAACAGAGTTGATATTCTAGCCAGGGGAGGGGGAAGCAGACTTTCAACCACAAAAAGTATATTATACTATAAATTGCAAAATAATATATGCTATAAAAAACAGGCAATGGAGAGAAAGCGGGGTGACAAGTTCAATAAGATGGTCATGATAGCATCAGTGAGAAGCTGATGCTTGAGCCAAGACTTGGTGAGAATGACTGATAAAATGACCTCTGGTTTGGGAAATTATCTAGAGTAGGAGAATCATGAATAGACTTTGGTGAGAAGCCCTGGATGAAGCTGGGACTCCTGTAGTGGGCTTGTTCCAAGTAGTGACCTGGGTACTAGGCCCTTAGAGTTGTTACCGGAGGTGTCAACTTTACTAGGGACATGAAACTTCTAAACACAGTAGCTGTTTAATTTTCATCTCCCCCATCTGGTTCCTTCACACATGAATTGTCACCTGCCTTAGGTTGAGTTCCTTAAAAGCAGAGTCTAAGGAATGAATATCCTTGTGATTCATTGGCAGAAGGAAGAGAAAGAGCAAAGGACGCAGGGTGGGGGAGGACTCTGTGATATTATGGCTCCGCTTGGAGTCTGAGTCCTTCGGAGGATTCTGGAATGTGAATTGGACCACAAAATTGGTACCCTCTTGAGGCAGCATTTAGTGCCCTGTGTCATTCCACCCTCAGTTCCTGGGCAGTAAGATTTAATCTCCTGAGATAGACTGCCCAGAGGCAGTTCCTGGAGAAGGAGGAAGTTGTCAGTCATTAGGACCTCACGCGGCAGCTGGAGTATGGCCGTGCTGCTGTGGTAAGACAGCTGGAGCCATGTGGCACCAGAGGTGTCCATGGCAGGAGCACAGAGCACAGGGCCAGGAAGCCCTTGAGGACAGATGAGGTGGGACCACCTTTCAGTGCCCCCTCTGGACACCACTTCTTTCCCTGTATCTTTTAAGAAAATTAAATGTGGAAGCGACTTTTAAAGTTGGGAGCATGTGAGTGTTTAGCTCAGTGCTGGCTAGCTCGCACCAGAGGAAGTCCATGAAAATTCAGTCTCGGGTTCTGTCTTCCTCGAATGGGTCTGGGCCTGTGATTTCTTAACTAAGTGACTGTCATACATACTGAAGTTTGAAAATCTCTGCAGTGAATGAATCCAAAGACCGCAGAGAAGTGGATAGCTGTCACTACATTTTACATTCTAAAAAACACATGTGGGCCCTGAGGGTCTAGCATTTAGGGGATCTGTCAGTGACTTGTTTGCAAGTATCTAAAGGGCCTGGTTGAAATCCCAGCTTACTCTCCCAAGGACCAAGACACTTGGTGGATCTGTGCCCCAGTTTGTTCATCTCCATCTGTAAAAGGGGGATAATAACTCTCTTGTTGTGAAGCGTGAATGAAGTTACATGTATCAAGTCCTCAGAATGCTGCCTGGGCCACAGTAAACATACTGTTTGTGAAAAAAGAAAATAAATAAAGAGATCACCATGGGCATTGTTTTTTGGGGAAAAGGCTCTACAGTCAGATAATAAGAACTTTGGATTTTATAGAAATTCGAAATGGCTTGTCATGCTGGATGTTCTAGCTAATGCCTGAGGTATTCGTTTTCAACTTTTACTCCCATGTTATTTCTCCCAATAGGAGGAACTGGGGAAGTCTTCAGAAATGCCTCACAGAGAACAACCTTTGTACGTCTATGCACAGCCCCACGCTCATCTCGTCAATGCTTCTTGGCTTAAGACACCAAAATGATCACTTAGGAGATGTTTAGGGGCGCCCTAAGGAAGCAGCGCCCTAAGGAGACAGCACTCTAAGGAGTCACACTTCTCTCTCGGGTGAAAATGAGGAAAGGCTATGTTCTTTCTTTGGCTTCTATCTCCCTATGCAGAAAGGGCACGTAGGAGAATCTAGAATCAGAATTCAGTATAATATGTTGCATACAACCAAGCGCTTGAGGAACATGAGTGATGGGTCTTCGTCATCTATGATCACCTCGCCGGTGACATACTGCCCAACATCTGGATTCTGTGTACACATCTCTCTCTGGCCTCTGTTTCATTTCAAACTCTCAGAAGTCTTGGCTTCCTTAGTTTGTCCAAATGTGGTCGATTTCCTTAACCTTGTGTGTTTTAGGTCCAGTCCAGAGAAGCACAAAGCCCAAGGAGTCTTCCCAGACCTGAGGAGGCAGTGAGTGCTGTGCTTAGATGCAACCAGGCTGTGCATCTGGGGAGTTGAGGGAAGCAAAAACCTCAAGGTGGTCTTTTAAAACTGCCCCTCTGTCACTGTGAATAATGGCACCCTCACATACAATATTTAGGAGCACCGGATTAAGATTTTCTATTCTTGACACAAGCAGAATGCTTTCAAACTGTAACGCCCATCAATTCAAACAGGAGCGTGAGCCCATGGAACTCAGGTTGGCTCGTGCTGTGGCTCACTGATTCACCAGTGGCACAGATTCTACAGAATTCTTCTCCACACTTTGCAGTGTCTTGCTCCTCATAAGCCTGGGGTTGTTGTACTTTATGGTAATTACAGGGCTTTTCTTATTCACATGCAGATGGCTATAGAGGAAGAAACTTCACATAGCTCTCAAAAATGTGAGGAACATCTTTCCCAAGAAAAATTTGTCCCAACTCCCCTTTGCTATTCTGGCTACAAAAACAAACGAACAAAAAAAAAACACTTGCCTTTAAATAAATCACTGGTTAAGGTGTGGAGAAATTTATATAGACTAATACATTTATGTCTCTTTGTAAATTTAACACAACTTGATAGAGGATTTTTGCATTTTCTTTTTAATTATATGGGGGGAAAGAAAAAAATAAAATTTGTAAGTAGAATATGTGATATTACTAGTTATATATGTACTTATATATCCATCTTTTTTTTTTCTTTTCTGATATGGTTCTGAGTTAGTCTTTTACTTAAAACTTTCATTAAGCCATTCATTTATGGCCTTTCATGTAAGTTAAGGTAATTTTCTTTAGTACTTCTTATAGGATAACCCTGTCATGACCATCACTAGTTCTCATTTTTGGAGAATAAATTGTTGAATTTGGAATTATTGACTTTTACAAAATTTCAGCACTTAAAAGTGTCCTCCAACTTCTTTCTACCCTTCCTAGCTTTAGATGAGAAATTGTTAACTTTTGAGGATTCTAGATGTATAATGAGTCACTTCTCTCTCCCTTCTTTCAAGAAAGATTCTAGCTTTTCAGGCCTCCGGGACAACATCAAGAGGAATAATATTCATATAATAGATTCCAGAAGGAAAAGAGAAAGGGCCAGAAAAATTATTTGAGGAAATAATGACTGAAAACTTCCCTTATGTGTGGGAAGAAAATGGATATCCAGGTCCAGGAAGCCTAGGAATTCTAGTAGAATGTTAGATTGAAGAACAGCACAAGCAGTTATCTTGTCTACTTGCTAAAAGCTTTCAGACTCTCACTGCTAAACATGAGGTTCGTGGTGGATTTTTGGTATACAACTTATGTTGAAGTAGTTTCTCATATTCCTTTTTCATTAAATGAGAAATCTTACCTCCAATTTCAATCTCTCTTGTTTTGAATGTTCCATATATTAATATTATGTAGAAATCGAACAATGTGTTATCACTCATATTTTTCTTCTTTTTTTCTCAGCTGTTCATGCAGAGGGGGGGTGTGGGTGCAGTGGATACTGGTGGAGGATTTGTGCTTTGGTGGTGGTGAGGTATGATAATATTCATTTAAAGAGGTATGAGTCTGTATCCCTAATAAATGTACAGTGTTGTAAACCAATGTTACCGCAACAAAAATAATTTAAATTAAAAAAATCTTTTATTATCTTTATTTTATACATCACCAGCAATATCACTGATTGTTGTAGTCTTATACTGAGACTTTTCAGTGAAGATCAATATGTTGCCGTGATTCTTATACCTATTGTGCCTGATGCAGTTATTCTTATACCTACTATGCCTGAGAATATAGTTCAAACCATTGCACTTGGATGACTATACAAATTTAGATTAAACATTTGTCTAATAGCATGGTAGTTAAATGCACATTATTATAATTTTTTGTTAATTTTTTAGAATACTAGAGGTTAGTGTTAGACTTTTGGTATATAACTTATATTGGCATATACCTACACAAATAATGAAGTATACGAAAGAAGGAAAACCGTAGATTCTGATTTATCCAACACCTTCTGTTCAGTCCATTTCAATCAGGAAATTAATAATATTTTAGGGATAGGAAGGACACTTGTTTATAAATAATCTGTGGAATTCTCCAGGATATATATACTGTGAAAAGATTAATATAAATCATTGTGATTGCCTTGAGAAGTTAAGTAAAACTGTGATGAAAACTTATAAGCAAGTTACCAAGGGAGAAACAGAGATAATATGTACAAATAAATGACTGTAGCTCTTAATCTACTTTTGTTTATAAGACAGCTAAGCATAACAATGTGTGGTTAAGACTTTAAATAGATGGTGAATAACTAACTAGGAATAGAAAAGTCCATTACCTTCCATCACTGTATTCACTCCACAGCCTCATGAATACATATAACCAAATTAAAGTCAAGAATATATGTGCTTCTTCTTTCTGTTGGCACTGCTTCTACACTATGTAGAAATAAGATCGAATAGCGCAAAGATGTTACATTCATTTCATATGTGATTTTAGTGATGAATCAGAAGGGTGCACCCTTAATGTTAGGATTCTATAATGTTTTTCTCCAGTTTTGAAATCATGCTACACCTCTTTGATTTTAGCAGGCTAGACTATCATCTTTGTGTTTCATGACCAAGCTTTAATTATTTGGACCATTGGAGAAATACTCTCCTACTTTAGCCAGGAACCCATAAACAGCAAGAAACTCCATAATGTTCAGGAATAACATACTGTTCCATAGAGTTTCTTTTGTTGTCCAAGAATATATGGTCCCTGTGTTGTTAGTAAATTGGATATTCTTCAGAAATGGATGAATCGTAATTGGGAGTGCATTCAAATAAGGGATGGAGGTCACATACCGACCTCCCACCCCATCGACACCATCAGGCTTTCTTTTTCAGAAAAGTTTAGTTTTTGTGTGAGTGCTTATCATTTTGGCCATGAGGCAAATGGTAAAATTATAAAATTGACAACGGACTGCCCAAATCTTGTCTAACACATATGGACTTTGATGTAACCCTGACTAATAAAACCTTTTCAGGTTTCTTGAAAAGAATCCTTATACATTCAAGTGCACAATATGGAGATGTCAAAATCTAGACAGTTCTTTTAACCTGGATAATCCCAGTATGTTAGATCACTCATGTATGTTCTCACAGGCTGACATAATGTTGCAGATTTCACATAAGAACCACATAGAAAGTATTCATCAAGTGCCATAGTTTATTGGTTAAAGAAGTAAATTTCTATGTGCCAATTTAGGGTACCATGGGATCTGAATGAAAACTACAGATTGGATCCATTTTGATATGCCTGTGCTTTGTTATGTATTTCTGAGTCATATTTTACAGCTGCTCTTTTCACCTTTGGAATTACTGTCTGATGATTTCTAAATATATACAATCACTCCTCACTTAACATCACTGATGGGTTCTTGGATATCATGAGCAAAATATTGTACAATATAAGCTGATTCTTGGATAATATCACTTCAATCAATGTCAACAATAATTCATTTTTTTTCTTTGCATCTTCATAACAAAATAAAAACAAGATGATGTTATTTGAGGTCCTGTTGTAATGTGAAACTGAAGTCCCACTGAAGATAGAAAATTTTCTAAGTAAATACTCAAGCACTGCACATAAATTACATGCAGTGTTACATAATCCTCCATTCATTTTGATGAGACACAGTTGGGGGTATCATGTTGTAGATCAATAAAAAACCCCACATGCCACTTGTGTCTACACAAATCCTGCATCTGGAGGAGGTTTACCTGCCAAAAGAGAATCACTGGCTGCATCTGTTGTTGATCCTATTTGTTTTTGCCAAAAGCATTTTACAGAGGACTGGGGCAACAGCATACACAGACTTATAGATGTGAGAGCTAGATTCAGACATGGGCATTATGTCGATCTTTTCTGGCACAAACTCTTGGTGGGCAGTCTTCAAATTTTGCACATAGTGACCCAGCAAGTGAGCAATCAAACACATCAAGTCAGAAATTCTTGAAGTAAATGTCTTCTGGGTATTAGGATGGGTTAACTGTCTTCAGAAAGTGCTTGAAACCAGGGATTTCTTTCTTCTGGTATGAATATGAGAGGCATCCATGGAAAAGGCCCCTTATGTTAATTTTCTTGTACAAGTCAATACAACATTTCGGTGTCATGATCTACACCTTCCCTGAAGTGTACAGAATGCCCCAATTGGGTACAAGCTTAGGAAACTCTCGGCATCACCATGAATAATGATGCATTCATTGTTAAAATCTGAATACAGCCAGTTACAATCAAATTAATTTTTGTTACTTTTCTCCAAGCAACAGGAATCATTTCTATAGACAGACAGATACCTTTCTTTACCATCTCTGTATTTCATATCTTCTGAGCCTCACGTTTGCACTCAAGTGCAGCCAAATCCAGCAATCACCAGACCGCATCATGGACTAGGGAACTGTCCTTGCAGCTCCTGGTTGACTGGTGGGAACCATTCCCTATCACTCAGGAAAGGATCAAATGGCCCATATGTGACCTGAATAAGAAAACAAAAAATATTCTGGTTTTCTTCATGATTGGTAGAGTTTAGGCTGTCTTTCTTGGGGAGGGTCTGAGAAGAAAGAGGAAGAGATAAATTCTTCTAACTTTTGCTTGTCAGTAAAGCAGTTTTTGGCTCTTTCAATTCTGAGTCTGGGCTCCCTAGGAAGCTCTTGCTTGAAGTTCTTTTTGTTGAACATTTTTAGTATATCAAGCCATTCCCTTCTGGCATGGGAGGCTTCTGCTGAGAAATTCACTGATAGTCTTATGTGTGATTCCTTGCTTTCTATTCTATTCTATTTCTATTCTTTCCCTATTTTTACTTTTGCCATTTTAATTATAATGTGTCGTGGTGTCCATTTGTTTGGGTCTATTTTGTTTGAAACATTTTTAGCTTCCTGCATCTGGCTATCCTTTTTCTTTCCCAAGCTGGGGAAGAAGTTCTTGTCTATACCTTTAAATGAGATTTCTTCTCCTTTCGCTCTCTCTTCTTTCTGGAATCCCTATGATGTGAAGATGCTGCCCCAGAAGTCACTTATATTACCTTGATTTAAAAAAAAAAATGTTTTCCTTCTCAATGTGCATTTGAGCA